CACCGTATTCTGTTTTTCCCTTTCACCAAAGAAGAAACCCACTCAGGCTGCTCCTTCAAAACCACTTATTGTTTCTAGGCAATGAATCATGGGCTTCATCCGGCGACTTTTCGGTTCCAAAAAGGCCGCCAATAATCCCCGGCCGGAGAAGGACAGGCGACGCTGGAGCTTCACCAGATCTTCTAATGCCACCTCGTCCAAAAACAACAAACCTCCTGTTCCAGCCGATGATGGTAACTTGGATGCCAACAAGCACGCCATAGCTGTCGCCGCTGCCACCGCGGCTGTCGCCGAGGCGGCACTTGCGGCAGCCCATGCAGCTGCGGAGGTGGTGAAACTGACCAGTGGCGGAGGCGGCGGTTCTGCTGGTGGTGGTGGTGGTGGTGGCAGCCACCGGCGTTTGGCACAGGAAATGGCGGCAGTCAGGATACAGTCCGCCTTTCGAGGTTATTTGGTAAGTGTGGTGCTGTTCTTTTTGATTTTTTTCTCCCTTCTAGAGAAAGACATGTGGACGGTCGCCTCTGTAGAAAACGTCAAATTCTGTCCGCGCGTGAATAAACGCGCTCACGGGATTGGACCGTCGCGGTTGTCCCGATGTCCTCAGTTTTTTTCACTTTCAAATGCCCTCGGAACTACGGTTTCATTTTATCATTCCAATATTATCTGAGACGGTCTAACCTACAAAACATCAGATCAGATACCGATACTAGAACTCTCTGTTTTTGGACATCCAAATACTATATATAAATGTCTTTTTCTATGTTTTTTGGTTTTAATTATAAGAGAGAGAAAGGACCAGAACACTGGTCCCAAATGGTTCCTAGTCAAGGCTTAGGCAATTGAATTAATTGGTCGGAATTTTAAATCCCACTGACATCTTAAAAAAACCCCTCCTTAGTCTCCCAAATGGTAAACTGTTCAAAAAAAAAATTATAAGAGAGAAAAGTTCCTTACCTTTCGGCCTAATGCTTTGGCACATGCTTTTGTTAGAATATAATTCTGATTAAATGTTTGAGTCCCAGATTCTCTCTTTTCCATTCCTCCTAATATTGTAGGAATGGTTGCAATATTATAAAAAAAAAAAATTGTGAGAGAGAAAAAAATATCGTATGTTAGAAGCATAGACTAGCAGTGGAGACGTTGTAAGAAGTGGAAGATCCACACGGGTGTGATAATGGTAGCTAATATCTGGTCGGCAGTTACGTCAACTACCAAGGAAATGGAGTTCACGCTCTCTTTTTACGCGCGTGAATGCTAGTTTTTTCATTTGGGGTTGGAATAGTCAAATGAATGAATGAAGTTTCAGCTTCTCACCCTCCATTTCAAAGAAATTTCCAGTTTTTAATTTTTTTTTTAAATTTTGAATAAAAAATTGTTATACGGTCCAGACTAGGTAATACTAACCATCAAATACTCTTTTACCCAATTGTTGAAGGATTAAAATTTTAAGTTGGAGATGTAAAAAAATTTTTAACTTTGAATTAAATAAAAAGGAATTTAAAAAAACAAATTTAAAAAAAATGTGGTTATTCTTCTTATATAACTCATTATTTAATAAAAAAGGATTAAATGAGGTTAAGGGACTATCCTCATTTGAGGCGCGTGACTATTAGGTCGCAAGTTGGTGGAGTTCACGGCGGTAGCAAAGCTCGAAGCCCTGACCTCCGCCTCACCCAAGCTCTAAAGCTTGGGGGCCAACCAATTAGGCCACAGGCCCGGTTGGCATTTATTGATTTTTGTTTTACGGTACGTGCAGTCTAAATTTATATAACCAATAAAAAGAAAAGAAGAAGAAAAGAATTGATATGGGGAATAACTTTTAGGCTTAGTTATTCTGTGTGGCGTGGTGTTCATGTTCATGTTGAGCTGGTTGTCTTTTTCGTTGCCAAACTTTATGGATACTTTTTCTTTTTACCTAGATTAAGTTAAAGTTGTTAAGTTTTAGACTAAACTTTTCTAAGAACTGTAAAGGGAGGGATTGTAGTTGGTTAATTTACTATTTTCAACTGCATTAGGTGAACTTTTTGCTTTCCCTCCTTTTCTATTCACATATATGCATCGTTTTAATTAAATTATGAATGCGGGTTAATCATTACTTCCATGAGCCTTTGCTTTTTGATTTTTCATGCTAATCTGGTCCCAGTCTTTTTTAATTTCACGGGTGCATTGGGGCTTTAACTTTAGAAGGCTAAAAAATATTTGCTGTACCTTTTCCTTTTTGCGCAAATTTCCTCTTGTTTCTGTCTGTTTGATTGATAATGTGTTTTTTCTTACGTTAATTTTCTTGTAGGCAAGGAGGGCGCTGAGGGCATTGAAGGCATTGGTGAAGCTTCAAGCACTAGTGAGAGGCCACATTGTGAGAAAGCAAACTGCCGACATGCTTAGGCGTATGCAAACGTTGGTTAGAGTGCAAGCCAGGGCACGTGCTAGTCGTGTTTATGTGACTGAGTCGTTCAATTCTAGTAGCAAGTGGAGCCAGTCTCGGAATAGTGTAAGACAATCTTCATTCTTGCTGATGAACTTTTTTTGACTTTTAGGCTTGCATTATGATCCCATATTATTTTTTTTCCTGACACATAACATGTTGAAACCTTGATGGACCACATGAATACTTGACTTAATAAAATGAAGTTCTGACTTCTTTGTGTAGAGTTTTCTTTTTCATGGCCAAATGGAATTGAATAAAGACACTTTAATGAAGAAAAAGATGATAACCTACATGAGGAACCCTCATTGTCAGATTGCTATACCAGCAAATTATTTTGATTCCAATTTCCTTTTTCATGAAAGATTTTTTTATTCTTTTACTCTTTGATGTGCTTTGATTATTATTGAGATAATCTTGAGATCAAGCGCACTCAACTAAAACTAACTCAAAAAAGCCTTTCTGTGAGCTAGGCTGCCATTAACATATAACTTCCTCCGAAGTAATTATGTTTTATTTAGGTTTTCAGAACTTGATCAAACACAATTTATTTGCTGATGAAAAAGTTATCAACATAATTTATTTTGTACTGTCCGTGCATTCGGTTTGAGGGAAACGGAGGCAAAAAAAAATTGTACTTTTCCAGGTCATGTCCATAATTTAATTAAACAGAAACAAGTTAACAATTTACAGGTACAAAATGTACAGTGGTCCATGTATTAGACACAGACACAGTGGAGCCATTATGTGTGTTCATTTCTTTATTTTTGTTCATCCTTTGTGCATGTTTTGCAGGTCCCTCCTAGCCCTGACAAAGACAAATCCCATCTTCGTACTCATAGTACCAAATTTGACGGGCCCTCAATCCTTAAGGTAGGTGTTATTTGATTGGTGTGCTGAATGTTATCAACAATTTTCTTTGCATTTATTTATGAACATTACCTTTTGATCTTGACATATTTGAATTGCTTTGTAAGAAAAATATGTGATGATGTTTCTTGTAAAACTAATGATATCAATCAAGGAATGACTTTAATTTGTTGCTTCTTCCAACATGTTGAGCATTGATTTAATTTAGGAATTTCCAGATGCTAGGGATAGCTGCAAATATGATTTTGGAAATCATGAAGTGGTGAAAAAGTTTGGTCTCCATTCATTTGTAAATTATTCTTATTGATTATGTGCACCAAGTGCTTAAACTGCATTTTTTTGCTATTTCAATGCATGCAGAGATGTGGTTCTAATTCAAATTTAAGGGACATCATTGACCTAGAGAGAGCACGGATAGGCTCGAATCGGTTAGATTGTTGGATTGAGGAAAATTCTCGGAACAACCATGGAAATGTTTCAATTCGACATGGTCATGGTGACGATGAGAAGACTGACAAGATCCTTGAGGTAGATACTTGGAAGCCTCGCTTGAATTCCCAACAAAGCAGTAGAACCTTCAGAACATATCAGCATGGTTTGTCTGCAGATTATAACAATTACAGTTTCATGACATTTGACTCCCCAAGAAAATGTCCTACAAAAGCTTCAAGTCCCATCCCAAGTTTCTCTTCCGGGGATGTTTTGTCATTCAGGTCTATGAAATACCCAGGAGGAAAAGATGAAGCTGTTCTAATGAATGCAGCCAGTAGTCCACAGGTACTATCTGCATCATCAAGACATGGAAATAGTGCACGGAGAAGTCCTTTCACACCTACAAGGAGTGAGTGTTCTTGGGGTTACTTTGGAAGTTACACTGGTCATCCCAATTACATGGCTAACACAGAATCATCCCGGGCCAAGTATAGGTCTCAAAGTGCCCCAAGGCAGAGGCTTGAGTTCGACAAGTATGGTTCAACAAGAAGAAGCATTCAGGGTCCATGGGATGCCGGGGACACCATAAATCCCGAAGGTGATTTTGCTCAACCTGTTGACTTTAGGCACCGGACTAATCAACTTGTATCTGGTCGCGTGTACAGGCCTGGAAATGCCAGCCAAGTTTGATGATGCTTCCTTTTCTCTCTTGCCACTGTTTATTTTTCATGTGTGGCCTACTGGCGGCCATGCCAGAGTTGTAATTGTTTCTCCATGATTTTACAAAACTATGTTACTTTTCCACAACCATCTTAACATCATTAATGAATCAGTTGGGTGCCTTAGAAATGTTGGTTCACATGCATTACAGTTAACACTAATATTGCTTTTTGAACACAGATTTGTCTCCTAATTGAGAAAAAATAAATGTTTTAGGTTTCATATCAAGACTAATGTCAGGGTAATTTCAAGGCATTCACAGAGGTTAAAGTTAAACCCTTGTTACCTTTCCCGTGAATGGTTTGTTGGAATTGACAGCACCCGAAAAGTGACATTAAAATTATGGTATACAGGTTTATGTTACCCATAGTAGGACAGCAGAATCAAAAAAACATTGGATCATGAGATATTGTTCCTAATGTCTTAATCTTCTTTTATCTCCAGTTTTGGCTCTAAGTGAGCTTGAAAATGACACTTGAACAGTGAGCAAATAGATCAAAATGGTTTAGTGAATCATTCTTTTTAGAATCAAATCATTGCAGTCTTTGATTATATATCTAGATTGTAACCTGTGAATTCGTGGGTGGGAAATGACAAGGACAGGCAACTAAGATGTTATTGATTTGCCCAAATACACAAGCAATGCAGGAGCTAGAACCTTAAAGATCAAAAAAAACATATATATATATATATATATATATATTTTACTCTTTACTATACTTTGTCCCAGTTCTTGAGTATACTTGTTTCTGCAGCTGAAGACAGCCTTCTTATTTGGCCTTTCCCACATGCCTTACTCCTTGAAATTGCATCTCATCAATAGCCATAATCTTATGGAACACTGCATAATCATGTTGAAATTACCAAGAGCCATATAAATATACCAAAAGCCATAATAACCAATAATGTATGTAAATTGAAAGTGAATCATGTCATTTGTTGAGCATGATGTGCGTGCAATAATTATTTTCCGAAGAGAAAGAGGAAGAAAAAGATTGATACAAGTTGCAGTCAGTGTTAGGATCGATGGTGAAGCCCAAGGAGACACCACATAAGCCAGGCAGGGTGGCGATGGCTGTGGCATTGGGGTTGTAAGTGTTGATGAGACTAAGTAGGCATCTACACACCAATCTCCTGTTTTCAGTAGAATCACCAAGCAAATTCAAGCTCATCATGGCATCACAGCATGGTGAACCAGGGTAAGGGTCTGGTGAACCATAAGTGATGAAGGCCGTGCAGGCAGAGATCAACCCCATCACGGTGGAGCAGTCCGAGGCAGCAACTCTTGATGTTGCCCATAAGAACATCAACAATGCTACCGTTAGTTTATGTTCCCCCATATCAGTTTCAAGGAATTTTATATCTTCAGACTTATTACTCAGTGAAATATGTAAATTTTATAGTGAAATTTGAGTTGGGTTGGTGTGCAATGAAGAAGTTGTGAGGTTCATGAAGGTTAAATGAGCCTCTGCCCTGCAGCCCATGATATTTTGTATGTACAATTTCCATCTTAAATTTTATATCAAATAGACTACCCTGTTAGGATAAAAAAATTCATGAGAAATTACATTTTTTTTTATTTAATATAAAGCACATCTACATAAATGAATTCATTTAATTTTAACAAACTAAAAACTTTCATACATCCATGAAAATTGTACATTATGTAGCAGCAGAATCAGATGTAAAAACAATAGTCTGTTCACTACAAAAAAAGATGTAAAAGTAATAGTAACAGAAGCTGTATGATGATCAAAGACTAGTAATCACAAGCTACAACATATTTACATGTATGAAATGAAATCCTCAGATGCTATTATGTGAATCTAAGCTACATTATTACAGTCCCAGCTAGCGGTGGGTACGCAGATCAGGTAGTGACACCAATGGCAGTGATCGTTTCCGTTCTCTCCCTTGAAAAGCATCACCAATGCAACTGTCAATCTGCTTTTTAGCAAGCATGAAAAGAAAAGGAAGTTACTCTTTCAAGGTTCATGGCTGCTAGCTAATGTAAGAAACCTAAAATCCTATGCATCACCAGTTGCCTCAACATAGAACAATAAAACCATGCCCCACATCTCAATATGTACGGGAATGAGAGACATGAGTAATTGACGATTGAGGTGTTATGGGGCATACAAAAGTGAAACAATTGCCTCTACATATATAGAACAATAAAACCATGCCCCACATCTCAATATGTACGGGAATGAGAGACATGAGGAATTGACGATTGAAACCTAAAATCCTATGCATCACCAATTGCCTCTACATAGAACAATAAAACCATGCCCCACATCTCAATATGTACGGGAATGAGAGACATGAGGAATTGACGATTGAGGTGTTATATGGGGCATACAGAAGTGAAACATTTACCATTGTGTTGCACTTTTACCGAACATGACAAATTGGTCTATCACATAACAAAAACCATTCATTGCAAAATGCAAATGCATATAACAATGGTAATTGTTCTGAAATGAAAAAGTACTGTCAATTATAATAAAGGATTTTAATTGAAATTCAAATCATTTCAGGACCATATAGATTGAGAAGCATAGTAATCGCTTATTGTCTGGAAGGTTAGGTACTCACCCTGCTATCAACAGAACCAGAGAAACCAACCATAGCACATATTGGTAGGGCTTGTACTTGGATTTAATTTGGGAACCAGCTGGAAGATTCTGACGTTCCAACCAGCCAAACTGAGGACGAGGTAGCAGAACAAAACCAAGGAGGAACCCCGTCAAAAATCCACCAATATGTGCAAAATTATCAACGCGTGGTAGGATTCCAAGTGCAAGGTTAACGGCAACCACAACCAGGAGGGTGAACAACGCTGCAGCCTGCGGAACAATAAGGAAAGCACTTTGCAAGTTGTCATTAATGTGACAAATAATCAAGACTATAAACAACCTTAGATTGCTAAATTGATGCATAGATCGCTTGGAGTGATGTAATCCAGTATACGTGAAAATATTTATAGAGCAACACTGATTTTGAAGCAACAAAGAGCATTATCCACCTTGTTTGTGTATATAGTCCAGTTTGTGATCAGTTCCGAAAGCATTGCACCAAGAAGACCAAAGAGAGCACCAGAAGCACCAACAGAGGTGCTGTTTTGGATAAATAGAGAAGAAAGCACACTTCCACCAAATCCTGACAAGAGGTAGAGAATTCCAATCCGCACTGCCACATTGAAACAGCAAATGTAATATCATTTTTCATGATCTTTAAATATAATTGACAAGATTTTTAGAAATTATCATCAAATTATTTTACATATATTACATGGCTAAGTTTTAACTAGTCTAGAATGATCAGGAATGGAAATGAGCAACATACCAAATCCGAACTGCTGTTCAAGGCGGATACCAATGAAAACGAGGCTTAGCATGTTTACAACAAGATGAATGACACCGGCATGCAACCAGATGCAGGAAATAAGCCTCCATCCCTGATGATCATAAACAACTTTGGTCCGATCAAGAGCTCCCAACTTCCTCAGTCTTCAAAAACAGAAACATAATCATCTCAATTCCTTTTTCTCTAATTAATATCTTCATTTCTTCTTTAAGTACAAATAAATAAATAAATCCAAGAAACTGAACTTTCGATGTTCGACTTGCTTGTTGCAAATCACGACCAATACATAAGGTCAGATTCACTTAAGGAGAAGCTAAAATGCAAAACCAGGCAAATTCATGAAACCAGTTTGGCTTTTTGATCAACTTAATAAAAATGCTATAATGACAAACCAGTGCCCTTGTTGGCCAGTTGTTGATAACAGTAATAGATGGAGAACAATTAAATTTTCTAGTGACAGCTCACCAAACACACTAGCAACTTGATAGGCACAGCATATATAAGCTACCTAGAGAAAATTAATAACAGAAAATGAAACTTTTTAGATTCACATATTGAAAGCCGATATAAAGAAGCATCTCACCAGATCCACCAAATTAATTTTTCCACAACCAAAGCCAGGTTTTATAATTTATATTCCCAGCTAGGAACTTCCACAGAAAAAAGAAAGTACCGAGCAAAGCAAGAAAAACAGGGAATAGATTTGAAACAAGAGAAGGCAGATTGAAGGGAGATTCATTAAACACATCTAACACAAAACGAAAACTAAATCACACCAATTTTTGTATGAATTCTCAATTTGAATTAACAGTAAAAATAGAGCTAGAATCGCGGAGGAAGCTGAATTAGACCCAAACTAAATCCTAGAACTACAACTTCAAATTTCAAGAATCCAATCATCAAAACACCACTGAAAAACAGCTAACTTTTCCAACTCGAACATCAAAAAACAGCAAGAACATCCAGTAGAAGATCATGAAGTAGTAGAAGAAACAAATTTAGTCCAAAACAGACTCAGGAAGACTTGATCAAAATGTAACTAAATCCAATAACTATTCAAGGAAAACATATTACTAATAACGTAACAGAGAGAGAACCACAGCTTCAAAACCCCACCAAACTTTCACCGTAAAAGGGCCTAACAAGCAAACCCAACAAACACCATCCACGGAATCCCAAAAGCTTAGCTTACCTAGGAAAAATAAAAAACCAAAAATAACAGAAATGGAAAGTGAAAACAAAATATTGGAGGGAATCAGTGATTACGTGGAAGAGGATGGACCGAAGAGGGGATTCTCTTTGAGGGGTTCAAAGGAGAACCGCCCAAGAAACCTCGCCACACACTTGCCGCCAGGCCCAACCTGCTGATGCTTCGGACAATTATTAATATACATAATAACCACGAACACAGCAATATTGGCGACGACGATCATGGGTACTAGCCAAGACGTCCATTGGGTCTCCGTTTCCTCTATCACGTATGTCGAACCCGACGAATAGCTGTTATTGCGGCTCCTTTTCGCCCCCCTGCTCTCTATATCGTCCCCGGTGGCAGGCTGCATTGTTTCCCGTTAAGATCAAATTTTTCCTTCGACCCTTTACCCAGAAGTGACAGATTAAAGAAATTTGGGTGGAGTTGGTGAAGGGTTTTAATGCGTAGATTGAGAAATTGGGGAGGAAGTGACGGAATATTGAGGGAGAAAGGGCGAGGGAGTGGGGCAGTGCTTTTTCAGGGGAGGAGGAGAGGGAGTACAGTTCTAACCGTCGCAGTAACGAGGAAGAACTGGGGAAGAGACAAAAGTTTTGATTTTTGACTGGCGAATGGGATTTTGCCACCTAATAGGCGTGTTTTGGGAATATAGTTTAAATTGTTTACGTGGCTGATGGAGATTGGTTGGTGGGGTCAGCGTTGTGATTGTGAGAACACGATATCTACGCGGAATGGGAGTTTCCTAGTTACCGGAAATTTAAACGGACGCGGGTTCTTTTGAATAGTGTTATTTTAATTGCTTTTAACTCGAATATTATTTTATTTTAAACTCTAAAAAATTTCCATAAAAAAATTTAGTTTGCTAACCTTTATTTGTTTTTATTTATTTTTTAAAATTGAATTTTTTATTTTGTACCTTAAGGCACGGGATAATAAGTATTTATTAGAAAATTTGATGCTAATTATAAAGATATTTTTATGTATTATGTCATTGTAATTAATTAGGGGTTTTTTTTTATTTTTTTAATAAGATTAAAATACCCTCATTTATTTACACTACAAACTCCCATTTTCCAGCCTTTCCGTCTAAAAAATAAATTGAGTTTCACTAAAAATTTATTAGCCCAACAATCAATTCATGATGGCTGCAATAAATATATTGTAAACAAGAATGATGTTTTGCCAACTATCATGTATTAATTACATATTTTATAATTATTAATAAGGTTTACTTAATTTGTATTCTAAGAGTATATGTTAGGAGAGTTTAAAAAATCAGGACGTCCATCACAATCATTTGTTGAGTAGATCTCAATGTGAAATCATTTAATGAATGAGATCTACTTACTAAATAGTTGTGATGAACGTACTGAACGTTAATACATTTTGATTTTTATATTTTTGATATGTTATTAGTATAATAAATATATTTTTTATTTAATTTATATAAAAAATTATAAAAATTAATATATATTTTAATATCACTAATACGTGAATGATTTTAATTGATTAATTAATTAAATTAAAAATAATATTTACACTTTTAATAAAATATAATAATAAAAAATCTATTTATTATATTTTTATCTATGTGCATAAGATAAAAAAAACCCTTATTAATAAAGTAGAGAACCATTTTAACTTATTTTCATAACAATAAATATATCACAAATCGGACATGAACCATTTGTATTTAAAAATAGTTTACTGGTTAAGTATAATAACTCAAATTATGTTGAGAATATAGTTTCAATCGCTCTCTTGCCATTAAGAGGTGAAAGCAATTTTAAGATGGTGCCCTGTTATTTTTAAAAGCAGAATCTTATTTGATACCTGTGAAGTGCGTGTGAATATGGAAATTTATAAATAGTTGTGAGTTCAAATTGTGTTAATTTTTTATAATTATAAACAATCAAATAAAAGAAGGAATCAGATTCTTAAAATTTATACCATCTGTTTCCTTTCCCCATCATTTTGAATACCGAAGGTATTCCCCATCTAATTACTTTCTCATCAATGATCAAAAGATTCAAAATTCCTTTTGGCCTACTTTTATAATAGTTTATACCATACATATATACATATAGGAAAAGACATATTGCACTTGACCTTTCGGATCGATTGATAGTTTGCTAGTTTGAGGTGCATTCTCTCTTTTCATGAGTGGGTTTCGAGCTCGTTCTTTGATAACTTGTTAAAAAAAAAAAACATATTAGTCCTAATTTAAAAAAAAAATTAAAATTTTAATTAAAAATTATATCATTTTATTTAATTAAAATTTAATTTAAAATTTAAAATTTTATTTTTATTCAATATTAATATTTAGATTTAAAAAATAATTAAAATTTTAAATTAAAAATTTTAAATATAAATCAAAAGTCTAATTTTTTTAAAAATCAAAATTAATATACATTAATATCATAAATATAATTTTTTTAAAAATTAAGATCGATATACATTAATATTACACCTATATATATATACATACATACATATTTGTCCTTTCCTAGAAGGCTCTGGTCTCTTGTTTGTCTAGACATAATAAAGTTGAAGATTAGTTGGTTCACACGAACAAAACAATCAACTCATTATCTTTGTAAAGAGGATATCGTGATGTAGGATACCAAATTCCCAACAGTAGAAGCAAGGCTCTAGAAACGGGAAAGAGTCTATAATACCATTACTTGTATATCTTACGTGGTGCAATAAGTTAAAGCTCAAATTAAATCTCGACACACATAAAAAAATAAACAAATAAAACAGGAAAACCCATTTTGCAGAAGCACACGTGTAAATTGATATATCATCTTTCTTTTTAATAATATATTAAATTATTAACTGATTGAATCGAATTCTTAGATTTAGTAGCTCGTTTTCAAAGACTAAATAGTTAAATTTATTTGGTCAAAAATTTCACTTTCACAAACGAAATTGAAAAAATCCTTTTCTCCATGATTTTCCCATATTCAAAAAAAAAAAAAAAACCAATTGATTGGCTATAGTACAACCTGGTACAACAATACTAAGCAATTCTATTCCATTAATTTTCCAGGAAATTTCCAGCATAAAACAAGGAATAAAGTAGAACTATTAGCTTGAACAACTTACAAGCAACTTACAAGATCAATCATGTTGCTAGACAACAACATTACGTGGAAATCTTGACAATGTTACATAGAAGTAATATTATTTTAAGAAAATTATTAGTATATTTTTTTATTTAATATATTTTTTATATTTATTTAATATAATTATTAAAATATAATATAAATATAATTAATTCAATAATTTTACATATGCAAGATTATATTTTAAGTTTTTTTATATTTAATTTTAAATTAAAAAATAATAATTTTTTAATAAATATATAACATATGTACAATTAAAAAATATATCCATCAATATTTATTATTATATATTTAGGCTGAAGTACACGGCAGTTGTGGGCTGTCTTTGGATGAGGTGATTGGTCTTTTATTTAGACAGTTGGGATTGGGCTGTTTCTTAATAAGCACTCCCTCTGCGGTCTTCCGTTTGCTACCTGGCAATCATATGATTGAATCATCTTTCATTATCACCATTACTACGAGGTTGGAGCTTGGAGCACGTAACATTCCATTTGCCATTAAAGTAGCAAAGCCTGATGGCTGTCACTAGAACCATTCAAAGGTAGGTAAAATAGAATTTGAGATGTGCTTGTGTATTAAGCGACAATAACATTCTACCTGTAAGAGTCCTCAAATCTCAGATGAAATCATTGGTAATTTGTACAACATTTTTAAGAAATAGTGCGAAAATGACATCCGGGTAGTCTAACCATTATAACAAATCATGGAAGAAAGGGAAGCTAAACAAAATTTTTGAGGTAAAATCTTTGATCTAAAAGGATGAGACTGAAAAGGATGTTTGCTCAGCCCCCAATTCTGTTACAGCAAGGGTTGGAAGGTTTCAGCGTTTTCCACCGCCTCCTCCAAGCTTGGGGCCCTTTGGACCAGCACCCTTATTCATGCTACCTTTACCTTGAGTCTTCTGTTGCTTAGCCATTACTTCAGCCTTCTTGGCCTTCTTTTCATCCTTCGTTTTCTTAATTCTCTCTTTAAGTTCACTGCAGACAAAAGTCAGGTCAATCAAAAAGAATACTCCTACTTGCATGCTGATGGTAAGTAATTCCAAGGCCCCAGGGGATTAAAGGTCTATACAAGCTTAAACATACCGCAGAGCAGCTTCTCTTGCAGCATCCCGAACTTCAGGTTTCTCTGTTCTTCTCTTCTGAATGACCTCCAGGGTGGCACCAACAATGGACCTTGAGTAAGGCTTTTTTGTGGTGCGACGCTTCTTCTTGATGGCTTCAGCAGCAATATCCTGCACGCGTTAACAAAGGAAAAAGGAACATAAAGCATAAATCCTATGATGACTCATAAAAGAAAAAAAATTTCTGATTTAATTATCTAAGAATCAGTAAGTACTTCTCACTACGTTCTTACGCTGCTTTGTATACATGGCTGTCCAGGTTAGCTTAGATGGCTTCAGACGGTTGTGGAAATACCTCTTGCATTTGGAGTTGGCAAAAAGGAAGACCTTAATGGAACAATAAAGTTTATTTACTTTCACCAAATGGAGTAATCATAATATCATATTGACACATGAAAAAAAAGGAAGGAAAACAAGATATACAAACAAAGACACTTGAAGTAAATCTAGAGCTGATACCATCACTGCACTAACCTGGGAATCTGAGCGAATAAATCTAATACCCTTCCCCGGGTAAATCTTGGCTCCACTGAAGCGGCATAGTTCAGTCCTGAAATTTCCAAAAGTAAACAAAACTTTCAAGAGTAGTTGCTACCCTACCAAATTTTAAGTTTGATGCAGAGAACATAAAAAAATGGTTTTTCTAACCTGTACCCTTAGGGTCTATTTATTGCATATTTTCATTAGTAATTTGTATGAAAAATTATAAAAGTCAACTTTATTTTCAATATCAGTGACATGTGAAACAATTTGATAAAACTTAAATCAACTTTTATTCATTTCCATGCAAATTAATGATGAAAAGGTGCAATAAATGTACCATTAACTTGCGCCCTTAACCTATAGGTTAAAAAATTCCTATAAGAGAAGCTAAAACGTGGTAATGTCAACATGACTGGTAGGAGAATATATCATCAACTTAACAACAATCCAACATTCAGTTAAGCTAAAAGGAACAACCATAATACAGGCAAACAAATTTCCCACAAGACACATTCCAAGATAATTGATCAAGATAAGTATCCCAACACGGGCAATTTACATTTCTTGTAGGATCAAGGGATTCAATATGGTTAGATACCAATTATATGCAAAATTTTATTACCCAGTATGGAATCATTCTTAACCTCAAATGCTCAAAAAGCTGCATTCCTCAACTATGCAAGGAGATTTAAAAAACCCCATTAAAGTAAAGTAATAATAATCAATAAAACTCTAAAAAATTGAAGTTAAATTAAAGGTTTTACACCTACATTCATAATTAAAGAAGTGACATCAATCTGCACAGCAATGGTGCAATGTCAACTCAAATCCCCGAAACAAATGAAGTTGACCAAGATTCAACCTCCAGTGTTATTAAAACAAAATAATTAGCAGGAAATGAAAAGGAAAGATTAAAGAAGAAGAGAAAAACTTACTTGAGCACCATGGCGGCAACAGCTGCAAACGAAGAAGAACAGAATGTAAACCAACCTAGCGCCAGCATCATATATTTTTGCTTAGGTCGATGTATGTTTTCTTTGGGCCATTTAATTTTTTAGGCCACATTGGGCCATTTATTTTTTGAACAAGGTTTCGCAATTAGATCGGCTCACTTTCTCAACCTTATTCATCTCGTACTTCCATTAGGCACTTGAGCTTATAGCCCAATGCTATTATCTTATGCTTTACTTTTTTCTTTTTTTTTACTTGATTTGGTTTAATTGATAAAAATAATTAATAATTATAATTAATAAAATAATTAATATTTACTATTTTATAATTTAAAATCAATTTATAAGTTAACGTTTACAAATGTCCTAACTAGTTGTTTAAGGAAAAAATGTTATAGATTGATAAATCAATTAAATCAAACACACTCTTTTGTGATTATAAACATAATTTTTTAAAAGTGTTTTTGATATTTATAAAAGTTGCTTTCAATTTCTTAAAAGTTAGAAGGTGAAGTTATAAATCTGTTATTACTTAAGAATAAATTTTTTGTTGTTAATTTTTAAATTACTTTTATAATATTTTGTATGAATTTACAATTATGTACTACAAAATTTAATTTATTATTATTTTTCCGAACAAACACTTTTACAAAAGACAAAGTACAATTTAGTATTATTATAAAAAAAAATTGAAAATAGAGATAAAAAACCAAATCGAATAATTGAAAACAAAAAAAAAAAAATCCTATTGATTTGTTAATTAAGTTGAATTTCGGGCAACAAAGCAGAAATGTTGTTCAAGATGTTTGGTCTGCAGTAGTATGAACTGTTTCATACACCTTCACTGCAAAAAAGAGTTTCTCTCTGACTAGAGGTCCATCTTCATGATCAACAATCTGACTGTCCCATTTCAGTCCGTCTGTTATCCTCTTGATCTTCACCACCATATCAACATCATCTCGGATGATGATGCCGCCTTCTGGTCTCAAAATCCGATCCATCTCCAGCAATATATCTTCCATCTCACAGTTGTTCTCATAGAGGCTAAACACAGAATCAGCATGAATGAAGTCATAAGTCCTAGGATAAGTCGACATGGCTTCACACCTGTGACAGAATTAATTCAAAGGGTTAATGCAATAACTTTTAAGTTTTATCTTACACGAATTCAATTTTAGAAATTTCAAGTTTGAATTTCTTATATACCAATCTTGATATGTTCCGATGAGTCCCCTTTCGTAGATAACTCCAAGTGTATTAACATTGGCCTCCACCGGAACCACATTCATGACCCACACCAGATCGTCCACTAGGGCAGCAGCAAAGCCTCCCAAATTAGCATTCATGTCTAAAATATTCCTGTACCTTTTACCTTGTCCTAACTGATTGTTCACAGTCTTGTAATAAGACAATCTCCTCTTCCACAGTTCTAAGTCCTGTTCGAAATTCTCCACCGTCACCCCTTTCACCGCTCCCTCCCTGATCCTGGGTGGGATCGCATTCAGCCTCTTTGGCCACTTTGCCACCGCTCCACCAGCCACTTCTTGATCATCGGAAACTTCGGGTAAACGGGTCAAACAAGTTTCCAAATCAGTATACCAGGCTTTATCCGGATCCTGGGTGGGGCAGAAACTCGGATTCGGGTTATTGTTGGGGTTGGTTTTGCAATTAAAATGATTCAAGGGCTTTTGCCAAATGGCAATATCGTCTTTTTCCACAAACTTTTTCCAGCACAGGCTCTTCGCTACTTTCTCAATGTTGACCTGTTCTTCATTTAAATCCTCCTTCGTTCTTTCCCACCCTTTCCAATATTTCCTCCACCGGATCGGAGGACCCGATAGAATCCAGTACCCGCCGGGTCTCAGAACCCGATCCACTTCAATCAAAAAGACCCCATCTATTTCATATAAAAAGAAAAATGTAGTTAACTGAGCAAGCCAACTTAAAGGCATATATGTTGGGTGAAACTTTTAGAGCTATTAGCTTTTTTTTTGGTAGGAGAGAAATTTTAATATTATTTGTTTGTGAGTTATATGTTTAAATTTTTATTAAAAAAAATTTTAAAATTATTTTTAAAAATAATAAAAAGTGAGTAAAAAATTTATATAAAATAAAATTTTGAAAATTTTAAAATTTACTGTTTAAAATTTTTTAAAGTTAAAATAAAGATAAAAAATATAAAATTTTTTAAAAAAAATTTAAACTTATAAAATACAAACAATGTCAAAAATCTGAAACAAAGTTTAACTAAGTATGCTCTTAATTTGATGGATTAGTACATGCTAATTTTAAAACCTTAATTACCGTATTTGTGCCATGGGATGAGGCAGCGAGAGCAGTGAGCCATGTCGAAAGCTCGGGAGGGATAAGGGAG